TTCCTCACCTCAGTCCATTCCCAGAAATCTGCTAGACTCCAGATCTGCCACTGAACACAGTGTGCAAGTTAGAGAAAACTAGTCCCATGGAGATCTGGTGGGTCTTCTCCCTTCCATAGGTGACACCCTGGCATGTGGAAAGTTATTTATAATTAGGATGGCACAGGATCCTGGTAGGGAAGGAAAGCTGAGAATGAGTGTTGTAGCTTCCCATTCTCCAAAGCTAAGGGTGGGTTGCTTTGCCCAGGAGCTATCGTCTAGAACAAGAATGAAAGAGCCATCTCACAGTTTCCTAGATGTCACCCTTTTGTTGACCCCACTTTCCTGAGCCACTCTGCTCCACCAGGGCAGGTATCTAGAACCCAGGCAAGCCTCACAGTGTCACCTCACCGCCGATCCCATGGCCCTCATGGGGGCTGGCTTCCACCCAGGCCCCCTCCTCCCATTTCCCCGCCTCATTCTGGTTTCTAATCCTTGCACATGTTCTCTTTGGCTTGAAAGTTAAATTGCTTAGAAAGATAACTCTGTGCTGAAATTCAGACCGCATTAGGACCCAAAGCAATTTTGGAGACTGTCCATTCACATATCCAACAGCATTTGTGGGACATTTACTATGTGCCTGTTCATGATGGGGGAGAAAGAAGCCAGGGTTTTCTGCTCCACGAGCTCAAAACTTTTGGGTTTTTGAAACCAGCATCATCTGGAAGTAAGCAAGACACAGGGGGTCTGAGAAGCTCAGGGACAAAGAAAGAGCCAGAGTAGGTCAGAGAGATTAGCCTCCAGGTGGTTTATCTCGAAGACAGATCCCTACCCCCTCACATATATTTGAAGTGTTCCAGGACAAGGGCTGCGGAGAAGGCCATGGCCACCCACTCCAGTACTCTTGCCTGGAGAATCCCATGGATGGAGGAGCCTGGTGGGCTACAGTCCATGGGGTCGCTAAGAGTCGGACACGACTGAGTGACTTCACTTTCACTTTCATGCATTGGAGAAGGAAATGGCAACCCACTCCAGTATTCTTGCCTGGAGAATCCCAGGGACAGGGAAGCCTGGTAGGCTGCCGTCTATGGGGTCGCACAGCGTTGGACACGACTGGCGTGACTTAGCAGCAGAACAAAAGCTGAGCTACTCCTCTCCATGGGGAGATAAGAACTAACCAGGGGAACAGGTCACACTGATAGCCTGCTGTGCTGCCTAGGGGAGCCTGGGGCCCACATCTCATTGAGTTGGGTCCCTAAAGGCCATTGAGGACTATCATCCTCTGAACATCCCATCGTTTTAGGCCACCTGGCAGTTCCTGTCCTGTTTCCTATGAAGACAGAACTCCAGGGAAATTTTCTCTTTCAGGGCAGATCAAATGGGGCAGAAAGGTCAGATGTCACTCCCCACCATACATGGTATCTGTAGATTTTTATGACAACAAACAAGACTGGAGCAGATGTTGGGGGTTCCTGGCATGAGACAACTTCATGTTAACTGTGGCTTGCTGGGACAGAAGGTAAGGAGCACAAAAGAGTCTTGTCTTTCTGGGAACCCCTAGTACCAAACTAGGCCTCGTAACTCAAGAAAGCCCCAGAGCATGCAGAGCTGACGCTAATCAGTGGAACCATCTGATTGTCTTGGGCCAGGGAAAACCAAATGTGGGGTACTGGGGGAAAGTGTTTAGAGAGAGGCCTGTTAAATTTCTGGATGTGAAAATGGTTTAATAACTTTTTGCACAACAATAATAGTGAATCATAATGTATCCTGCAAAAATTATACTTCTGAAAATTCAGTGGAAACTTGAAAAAGCAATCTTTTTTAAAAATTGAAGTATAGTTGATTTACAATGTTGTGTTAGTTTCTTTCATATAGCAAAATGATTTGGTGACACATATAAATATATAATTGTTTTTAAAAATATTCTTTTCCATTATGATTAAAAATGAATATAGTTATCTGCACTACACAGCAGGACATTATTGTTTATCCTTTCTATATGTAATAGCTTACATCTGTGAACTCCAACCTTTCCCTAACCCCCTCCCTAGGGGCAACCATACGTCTCTTTTCTATGTCCGTGAGTCTGTTTCTATTCTGAATATAGGTTCATTGGTGGCGTATTTTAGATGCCACATATAAGTGATTTCATATGGTATTTGTCTTTTCCTTTCTGACTTCAGTTAGTATGATGATCTCCAGTCACATTTATGTTGTTGCAATGACGCTCTTTCATTGTTTTTTATGGCTGAGTGGTACTCCACTATAGAAGTCTACCACATCTTCTCTATCCATTCATCTGTTAATGGACATTTAGGTTGCTTCCATGTCTTGGCTATTGTGAATAGTGCTGCTATGAACATAGGTTGCATGTATTTTTTTGGAATAGAGTTTTGTCTGTATATGTGCCCAGGAGTGGGTTGCTAGTGATAAAGCAGTCTTGATAGGGTATCAGTCTAGTGGAGCTTGTAGTTTTTCTGGGGGTCATGCCACCTAAAATCTCAAAATGATTCATGATGTATTAGGCAGATTTTGTATACTGAGAGTTTTTCCTTTTTCTTTTTTTAATGTTTCCACAAGAAAGGCATTTTCTTTGAGCTATTGGTCCTGGGCTGCCCTCTTGTCTCCAGCTCAGGTTGGTGGATGAGTTGGAGGAAGGCGGCTTTCTCCTGGGGTCCCCACTTTTCCCAGACAAACTCAGACAACCACGATCATGGTTACCAGCCCTCACTTCTGTGATGCTGCTAGTTCTGATGCATCACCAGTGTCTAGCTTCTCCTGACTCTGATGCTCTGCCCCGGGGCACAGGTGCCAGGTTCCTGTGGACCGGAAGTCTGCCTGAGCGATCAGGTCAGGACTGAAGTTCCTGGTGGGGTTTCCATCCTAGAGCTTGTCATGGCTTTGTGACTTTTCAGAAAAGTCAGGGGGGCTTCCAAAGCACATAGGTTGAAAGCAGAGAAAGATAGTGAGAGGAACTGTGTTCTTTTGCACTAGTGTTTGGTGTGCAAAATGTTTTCTTGCCGAAGCTCTGCTGCTGAGGTTTATTAATAAGGAAGTGTGCTGAGCTGTGAGAAATGGTGGAACTGGCTTCTGAAACGGTCATGAAGGGAATTGTCCTCTGGACGTGGACATAGTGAGGGCTGTAGAAATCTTTCCAGCAGGGTGGCTGGCGGCAGACAGCTGCCTTGGAGAGCTGACTGGCAGGGAGAGGCTTGGAGGAGAGATGGGTCTGTCCTGGGAGTTTCCTGGGCATTCCTGACCTGGGCAGCGCTCTGGTGGTGGTTGTTTTGTCGCTCAGTCATGTCCAACTCTTTGTGACCCCATGGACTGTAGTGTGCCAGGCTCCCCGGTCCTTCACCACCTACTGAAGCTTGTTCAAACTCATGTCCATTGAGTCGGTGATGCCATCCAACCATCTCATCCTCTTTTGTTCCCTTCTCCTCCTGCCTTCGATCTTTCCCAGCATCAGGGTCTTTTCCAAAGAGTCAATTCTTGCATCAGATGGCCTAGTATTGGAGCTTCAGCTCTGGGGCTCAAGGTAAATGTCACAGAGAGAAAGGGCTTCACGGGGGCTCTTCCACTGCTCTCTCCTCTCCCCCTGCACCTGCCATCAAGTATTCTTTCCATCTGGCAATGCAGACATTTAATAATGAGACTGTTATCCCAGAGAACATATAAGTAAGGGATAATTCCTATGGGTACGTGGTATCAAATTTAGAGGAAATGACTGAATGTTGTCAAAGATGTATTGTTAAAATTTTGTGGAAAATGACGTACACTGAACTTTAGGCAAATGACTTTTTGACAGGAAGTACCCATAAACATAACAGACAAATTTGCCAAAGCATATCTGTGTAGAGCCAGTTGGATTTGACACGTGTGTATGGATCGTTTATGTCAGATTATGGAAACTGCAAGAATTCAGGTGGGAAATGTAACACTGCAAGGAGTAGTTAACATTTTGAAGGATGTAGAGCATCCTAGCTGATTCTCTACAGTTACCTTAAGGTGTTAAAAGCTTGGGTTTAATTATGTTACTTCAGAAATCCTGTATTTCAATATAATATTGATGCATTAGTCATGGGTAAAAGGATAAAAGGCATTTTATTTTAGTCAACATATTGTATGGAGTTTGTTTAATTTTAGAGTAACAAACCCAGAAGGAGATTCTCATCACAGTGAAAACGAGAACAACGGTCTACAGCACAGTGAGGGATGGTATGGGAAAGGACTTTGGAGAAAGACTCTGGCTGTCCATAGACACTTGGGTTGCTCCCATCTCTTGGCCATTGTGAAAAGTGCAAATTTGATATGGGTGTTTGTTAGATATTTTTAAGAGATTAAATCTTTTTTCTTTCTTCTAGTACTTGCATGGCTTGATTTTTAACATTTAGTTCTTTGATCCCATTTGAGTGTTATCTTGGATTATGGTAAGAAGTATGGACCCAACTGTATGTTTTTCCCCAGTGATTCTGTTCTGTTTCAATGACACTGATTATAAGTTTATTGTTTCCCAGTGGTTTGACAACTGTTCACCATATCCTCGTTTAGAATTTCAGTTGTCCCTTTGGTTTGCCTGTCTGTCCAACCCATCCTTCTCACACGAATGGTACGTGGTTTTGGGGTACACTTTAATACCTAGTTTGGAGTCTCTTTAATACTCTAGTGGGTAAAGAATAAAAAGCCTTACTCTGGGGAGAGGTAGGTCCCTCCATCCCTCCTCAGGCTGTGGGTAGAGGGGACACAGAGGAATGGGTGGCTGGGAGCAGGGAAGAAGCTCATGCTGACCCCAGGATGGTAGGAATCGGGATTAACTTGTCCTGGAAAGAGACCCCATCTTCCTGATGAAGCTCGCCCTCATTCCAGGCACACTTTGTTGTGCACAAAAAATGTTTAATGAACACATTAGAAATCAGTTATTTCCCCTCTAGACAAGGATGTTTATTAAGGCTCTAGGATATGCTCTGGAGCTGGGCTCTGCCCCAGAGGAGAGTCAGTCTCGTGGGATGTCACTCTGGTCTCTACTCTTTGAAGCGTCTCATTGTTCTCCTTATCCAGGGCAGGAAGCTGGAAATTCTGGTGAAGACTGCTGGAGGGGTCCCCATCTTGTCTCCATAGGAGACAATGCCCTGGGCCACATTGTTACACACGAGGGGGCCCCCGGAGTCCCCCTACAGGCAGAGGAGGGAAGGGACCCTCAGTTGTCCAGGCCTGCCCACTCCTGTTGCCCCCTCCCAACCCTCAGAGAGGACGGGGGTTGAGGAGAGCTCCTTGCAGTGCTGGTGTGTGTGAGATGGGAGGGTGGTGGGGTGCAGAAGAAAAGCTTCTGAATGTTCCCATCACCGGGCTTCAGCCCTGACTGTGGTTGCTTCTCTAGCCCAACCCAGGTCAAGGCGCCTTCACTGGCCCCAGGAAAACGCTGCACATGAACATCATGCGTGCCTGGTCCTTCTCCTATTCCCCCAGAGATTGGATGGATGAGGAAAAGCCCCCCTCCCTGCCCCATGTCACTTTGGTGTGGACCCCAGGCTGCAGCCATGGAGATGGAATCTGACCCCCTGCCCATTCTGCCCAGGGCCCCCTGTCTCGGGCACTGTCAGCAGACCCTACATTGTCTTACCAGGAAGGTGGACTTCCCCTCTCTTGGGTCCCCCACACAGATCTGCTTTTGGCCAGTGTAGAAATTGAAGCGACTGTGACACTCTCCATCCCTCTGAATTGTCAGCTGCACCTCCTGGAGTGTGACTGCTCTCCTATTCAGTCCGGTGAGGCCCCAGCCGGCCACAGTGCACTGGGTCCCAGGGTCCAGCATTTCCTCTGTCTGAGGCAGAGCTACCAACCTCACAGCTTCATTCTGTCTGACTCTGTACGCCAGCTGGCAGGAAGTGTGCAGGCACTCAGGGACTGTATGCTCACCCCATGCCCACCACCACCCTGGGAGTCAGCCCTGATTTCCCCTCCATGGTCCCAGGACACATGAAGCCCCCCACGCTGGGAGAAAGTCACCCAGTTAAAGAACCAGAGGGTCGTTACCTGCAGTAACATGATGTCATTCCGGTTGTTTCGCTGATTGTATCTGGGGTGGGGGATGTGTCTGGGAACAGGGATGAGCAGTTGCGTCTGTTCAGAAGCGGTGACACTGTGGATCCCCAAGATGACATTTATTTGGCTGCAAAGGAGAGGAAGCCTAGAGTAGGTTTGAGCTGCAGGAACTGTGGTCCCCAGTACAGGTCAAGTGACTGCCCAGGGTAGCGAGACCTCAGCCAAGGGAACCAGGAGACAGGAGGGCTCTGGGGCTGAACTCCATGCCTTAGGTCTCCCCAGCCATGAGATGGGGGTGGTGGGAAATTCAGTGACCTTAAATTTTGCCTCCCCTACAAGAAATTGAGAAAGAGCTTGAATTCACAATTTGAGCCCCATGGTGTACCTTCCATCTCCCCCTCTTATTCTCTCTCAGATTCTCCTTTCTCTCCATTCACACAGGCCTTCTCCTGGCTTTTTTCACCTGTTCATTGCTAGAAACCTGCCTTCAATGGCTGCTCTCATGATTACTTCTTGACCTACTTTGCAGGTGCCTAGAAACTCTTTAATTTCTCACGTTCCCAAGCAGCGAGCTGCTGTCATCACAGTCTTCACGCACCAGGAACCCCCCACAAATGGTCAGACCTGCTGGTGTCAGGGTCTGAATATATGCCATGTAGGGGTGGGAATGTGGCCTGGCCTCTCTGCCTCCGATGATCTGCCCTGGAAGGAAGCACTAGGATTATCTCTGCACTGACAGGTGTGTGATCATCTGCTTGGTGACTCCAGAAAGACTGGAAGTTGGGGAGCAAGAGAGATGCTGCAGGGGCAGGGTGAGCTGGTGGTTGGTGAGAATGGGGTCTGCAGGGTGAAGAATTGGGGGAGGCTCCAGGACCCTGCAGGAAGTGCTGCTGGCTCTCCATCCAGTCTCAGCGCCCTCCCACCTGCCCAGAAGGCAGGGCCAGCTGCAGGCTCCCTCACAGGAGGGTTTCTCTGCTGTGGGGATGGCAAACCCAGAGCCCTCAGGAGGGGCCTGTCCCTGAAGTTCTGTGGCACTTTCTTCCTCAGGGAACTTTCCAGATGCCTGTGAGTCCAGTTCATGAATTTAAGGATCTAGAGGTGAGCTGATGGGCCCCCTATCGCTGTATCTTGATCTCCTAGGCTCTGACACAGGAGCTGCAAACTCAGTTCAGAGAGCACATTTATACAGCCGGTAGTATGTACCAGGGTGGTTCTGAGAGGTTTATGTACACTCCATCTCTTAACTCTCATAGTGACTCTCCAGGTAGGCTTAATATAATATCTGCCCTCAGAATCTGAAACTGAGAAACTGTGGACTCATGCAAGCTGCCCAGTGATACAGGGCTAGCAAGTGCCTGGGTGGTCTGGCTTCAGAGTCTATGGGATGGAGTTGGGCCCCTGAGGGTGGGAACAGTCACTCACCTGCCTGAACCCTGGGGGCCAGGAGAAAGGCCACCAGGAGCAGGAGCGGCCGCATCTTCCCAGCGAGGCTGCCCAGTCAGTTGCTGCCCCTACTTCCTCCTGCCAGACTTTGAGCCCCTGGGAGAGGAAGGAAAGGTGAGGGTGGGGGCAGGGGCTCGTGAATTCACAGCCCCATTCTCCTGCTGCTGTGGTAAGTTTCATCACCCAGAGCTGCTCAAGAGTCTTGCCCACCAACTGCCAGGGACCTGGGGGAAGGCAGTAACCGAAGCCTTCAGTGCAATAGCCCGCACAGCTGCCGAGTCAGTGCCGGCCACAGAAATGGGAGCCCAGGGCACCGGGGGTGGGGGGTGCTGGGCACTGTGCCCCAGAAACCCAAACCCACCACATTCAATGATGTCCTCACAGGCATCAAGGCTGGGACCTGTCTACTTCCTCCTTCTCCCTCGGGGAATGGAACCTGCGTGTCTTCACCCCCTGGTCCTGAGCCCCACCCAAACCCTTGCTGCTCCTTCTTCTTTCTAGAAGCTCTCAAGCTCCCTGAGTAGCTCTGCTCCTGGGCAGGGGGATGGGGGTGGGAAGGTGGAGGGCACGGCCAGAGAAAGAAAAGGAAGAGTGAGGCTCTTCCACTGACCATTTCTCTCTCAGGTCACTTGAGCCCCCAACAAGCTCTCAGTGAATCACGACACTGGGGACGGCTTCTATTCTTCTGCCTCCTCCTGAGGTGATTGTTTTTGTGTCCCATAAGGTTCCCTGCCTAAAGAAAAAGCCCAGTGACTTGATTTTGTTCACAGCCCTCGGACCCTGTGGAAAAGCATCTCAGATCATATCCATCCATGATAGACCCGTCAACCTAAACCCATCTCTGCTCCACGAGTGCTAGCTCCTAAGAAGGAGGTACCTCACTGCTGTGCTACCTGTGAGACATGAAGAAGGGGACACTCACCATTGAGAGGAAAGGACGGGAGAGTTCTGCAGAGTAACACAGGGGGGTGGCAGACACACGCAAAATACTTGGAAGACTCTGTGTTGGCACAGAAAGCACTACAATACAGTAAATGTTTGCAAAAATGTCAGAATTGAAAACCAATACAGTTCTCAACCTTTTATGGATTGTGATAAGCCCACTTGAAAAATCTCATGAAAGTTAAGGATCTTCTCCCCATATACAAATATACACAGCTTGGCACTTATTCTCAAACCTGCAAAGAACTTAATTCCTTCCCTATTACATTGTAAATGATTGCAACTCATGAAATTTCCTTATGCATCTCAAAAAGATATAGGCAGAAAACAGGAAAACAAGCATAAATGGTGTAACTACTTTACTTAGTGCCTTTGGATAATTATAATTTATTGTTATGTAAGTTTTTTAAGTGTTTATTTCGTCTTTAAAATGTTACTCTAATCTAAACTAAGGGGAAAGTATGAAGAACAGAGAGTCCGTGTGCGAAGAGGGAAGTAGAATATGATCCTAATGATCTGGGTGGAGAGATGTTCAGGGAACTTCATTAACAGTGGCTAGGATTTCATGCCAATCTTCCCACCAAAAACAACCCCAAACAAACTTGTTTAAAATGTATGGAAACCTTGAAAGCCTTGAAGAACTCCTGATGCAAGAGTTATTATTAGGTTAAAACAGAAGGAATAATGGGAATCAAGACAAGTAACTCTATTTCTCTGAGAGAATTTGCTAAATCCACAGAATTTGAGCTTCTGTTTGAAGAGCACCTAAAATGATGGTGTAGAAATCAAAGATCATGAGGTCTAGACTAGACAGACAGGTCTAGTCAAACCCTCCCCACAATAAGCTGTGAACTTCAAAGTCTACATGCTCAAATGAACAAAAAAGAGGTATTGAGTTAGTAATTGCAAATAATTTCTTGAAAGTTTGCAATTACCTGGATGTTTTAATGGACTCTCAAGCCTTGAGTTTCTGTTATTGTACTCATGGATTGTGTTCCAAAGTACCTGGCAGAATCTATAGCAAATCTAGAAGTAATTCACTTATTCAAAATTCAAATTACACCTGTTATTTTTCAAGTATAGTGACAAGCATATAGCCAAATACAAACAGCTCAGCAAACAATAAGAATATGAGACATCATGACTAAGAAAAAGTAAGTAGCAAAAGAGGAAAAAACCCTTTAGTTTTTAAGATAATAGTATCAGTATAATAAAATATAGATGTCTCCTTTTACAGCTATTAGCATTTCCCTCACATATTGAGGTACTCCTATGTTGGGTGGATATATATTTGCAATTGTTATATTTTCTTCTTAGATTGATCTCTTGATCATTATGCAGTGTCCTTCTTTGTCTCTTGTAACAGTCTTTATTTTATGGATCTATGTCTTAGGTGTGACTTTGGAGAGCCTGTATGTTGACACTCAGGTCTATGTTTCTGCGTTGCTAAAGAATTTGCGTGGTATGTCTTGTACTGGAGCTTATTGGCTCTTGGGTGGTGGTTGGTTTTGGTGTAGGTATGGAAGCTTTTGGATGGTCTCTTATTCCTTAATGTTCCGTGTAGTCAGGAGTTTTCTGGTTTTCTCAAGATTTGGGCTTAAGACTCCTGCCTCTGGATTTCAGTTTTATTCTTCCAATAGTCTCAAGACTTCTCCAACTATACAGCACTGATAATAAAACTTCTAGGTTAATGGTGAAAAGATTCTCCACCGTGAGAGACAACCAGAGAGGTTCACAGAGTTAC